ACTGATTATCTAGTACGATTATCTAGATCGCATAATAACATTTTTCTTAATTTCTTAAAATAGAGTTTAAACGGAATAAGCTTTAATTGTAAAGTAGTTAAAAAATAATTAAAACTCATAATTACCTCATAATTAATGAAAAGCTCATAATTAGAGTGAAGAATGTATTGCTTCAATCAAATTGCATTTTGGAGGCCTTTGGAAACGCAAAGACTAATAGAAATGATAATTCAAGTCGTTTTGGAAAATATATGGACATTAACTTTGACTTCAAAGGAGATCCATTGGGCGGACACGTCAGTAATTATTTACTCGAAAAGGTCTGCATTTATATTCAAATGAGTTTCATTTCATAGTAACCTAACTCTGAAATGTTGTCAATTCAGTCCCGGGTTATAGGACAGCAAACGGGTGAAAGGAATTTCCATTCATTTTACCAGTTATTAAATGGTTCTTCGGATCAGTTGCTGAATAAGTTGGGAATCAAAAGAGATCCCAGTCATTACCATTACCTCAAGCAAGGTGGAAGTTTTAAAGTATGTTTAATCCACTAATTCTATTATGAAAAGTTTAATGATATATTATAAAGTATTGTTTATGATTAAAATAATTTTTATACAAAAATAAAGATTTAAATTAACTTGATAACTAATTAAATTGATAAAAATTAACTGAATTATAGGTGGATTCCATTAATGACAAAACAGATTATAAAGGAGTAGAGAATGCGATGAAGATATTGAATTTCAATGAATCCCAGTGCGAGTCCTATTGGAAAACGATTGCATCGATTCTGCATTTGGGAAACGTTGACTTCAAACGCGATGATAATAATGAGGATATCATTAAAATATCGGATTCCAGTAAAAAAGAGATTAATTTAATCGCAAAACTATTGTCTGTCAATGAGTCCGATTTAGTGAAGACTCTGTGCCATAGAGTGATCGCTGCCGGCGGGGAAGTCATGTCCAAACAACACACCAAGAATGAAGCCTTTTATGGCAGGGATTCGTTTGCAAAAGCCATTTACGACCGACTCTTTTCCCATATCGTGGAACAAATCAATGGCGCCATTGATATGACTAAAGAGGCCAACAGAAGAAGTATTAGTTCGGGAAAGAAAGGAGCAGTCATTGGGGTCCTCGATATCTATGGCTTTGAGATCTTTGATAACAACAGTTTTGAACAATTTTGCATTAATTACTGCAATGAAAAATTGCAGCAATTATTCATAGAATTGGTGCTGAAACAGGAACAGGAGGAATACCAGAGGGAAGGCATTGATTGGCAACACATCGAGTATTTCAATAACGCTATCATTTGTAATTTGGTTGAAGAGAATCATAAGGGAATCCTTGCCATTGTGGACGAGGCATGTCTTAATGTGGGCAAAATCACTGATGAACTACTGCTCGAGAATATGGATAATAAACTCGCAAACCATAAGCACTATAAAAGTCGTCGATTAAGCCCTTCAGATAAGACTCTCGTCCATCACAGAGACTTCAGGATTAAACATTATGCGGGAGATGTGAACTATTCTGTCATTGGATTCATTGATAAGAATAAAGACTCACTCTTTCAAGACTTCAAACGACTCTTATATAACAGCTCTGATAAAGCGGTGAAAGGTTTGTAAACTTATTGAAAATTAGTTTAATTTAGTTGAAAACATATGAAAAACTCAATTTTCTCACTATATATAGAGTTATTCCCTGAGGGGTCACAACAGATGACGGCAGTGAACAAAAGGCCGGTCACCGCAGGCTTTATGTTCAAGACATCAATGATTGCGTTAATTAAGAATTTAATGTCCAAAGAGCCGTATTATGTGAGATGTATTAAACCTAACGAACAAAAGTCTCCCGTAATGTTTGACGAGGAAAGGGTGAGACATCAGGTCGCATACCTGGGTCTCCTCGAGAATGTTAGGGTCAGGAGAGCGGGCTTTGCCTTTAGAATGGCTTACGAGAGGTTCTTAAGGCGATATAAGATGTTGTCTGCGCGCACGTGGCCTAACTACAGGAATGGTAGTGATAGGGATGGCTGTAAAGTACTGATCGATGAAAACCGATTTACAAATGATGTGAAGTACGGAAAGACGAAAATATTTGTTCGTTCGCCACAAACAATCGCTTCATTAGAGTCCGAGAGAACAAAACTCTTGCAAAACATAGTGGTATTCCTGCAGAAGCTATGGAGGGGTACTCTCGCCAGAAACCGGTACAAGAAAATGAAAGCAGCCTTGGTTATTATTCAGTACTACCGGCGCTACAAAGTCAATAAATATGTCAAACAAGTGTGTCGTCTCTATCAAAATGTTAAGAATATGAGAGACTACGGCAAATCACTTCCCTGGCCAACACCCCCGCCATATCTTAGAAAAAATCCTGGAATCAGTCATATGAGAAATATTTACATCAAATGGAGAGCATATATGGTCTTAAAGGCGTTCCCGCGTAAAGATTGGCCTCAAATGCAGCTTAAGATAATCGCTGCCGAAGCCATCAAAGGACAGCGAAGGGATTGGGGATTTGCGTCCAAATGGGAGGGCAATTACCTGGATAAGAGTGTTGAGAGTGATGATTACGGGAAGTTCTCGTCAGCATTCACTAAGCTAACCCTTAGCGACCCCTCTGGTTGTCGTAAGGTCTTGTTTTCCGGTTATATCCGGAAATTTAATAGATATAACAAAAGCGCCGACCGAGCGATTGTTGTCACAAATCATTACATCCATAAGTTTGATATCAGGAAGACGTCGCCAATGGCTAAACCGACGCCAATAGAGAGCATGACTGGTATTAGTATCTCTTCCGGTTTGGATCAACTCGTTGTCATTCACCTGAACGACGGCAACGATTTTCTCTTCTCGTTAGTAAACCTTAAAGATAATCAAAACTCAAACATCAATCG